GAACGCCCGCTCTGAACGACTACGCATCGCGGCGGCCCAGCTGCCTTTAAGAATCAATAGAGAGGCTCTACCAATCCTCGTTTATCTTTTATACCGGTCCTCAAAGCCATTACACACAAAGAAAGCTGGACCCAAAGGCACCGGAATGGCTTCGAAAGTCGCACGGCAAGAGTAAACCTTAAGGAGGACATTGACGAGGAAACGAGCGTGGTGGGAAAGGAGCGAGAAAGGAGGGCATTACAGAGCTTTGCGAAAGAATTCGGACGGGGTGTACGACGGCAACGAACGAGCTCGAGAAGGAAGACCAAAGAAAGAGCTGGTACACTTCCACTTGCTCTGAGTATGTTCAGAAGGAATGCGTCGGCATATGGAGAAGTCGATCTGCTGAAAGAGGTTCAAACTACAGTTCAAGACGCAGCCGAAGAATTGAGATTATCTATTCAAAAGGTGACGTAGTTGCTCTTAAGCACTATTACATGAGGTATATCATTCCTCTCTTCCTTGCAGTTCTTTTAAAGGATCTCCACCATAACGGTGACGCATTCCTGGAAGATCACATGGGTTTGAGATGGCTGGAACAGTCAGAAGAAGATCCCCTTGTATACCAGACTGGGCACCGTGACGATAGAAATTCACCTAAGTGTATCATCGGGAACGTTCAAATAATATAAGACGGAAACAACTTCTGTTTGAGCTGCCATGAAGAGCAACGCCTAGTTGCATTGCTCCAGGGGTCAGTTGAATCAGATGATTTACCTGCGTCAGGTGGTGACGAAGAGGAAGGGGAGCAAGCTCAGGCGGACAACTTTTCAGAGCCAATTAGATTTGAAGCTGGAAGGAGTAGGTCTGGAAGACCTACAACCAGATATGTCCTCCGACAATCTACAATGGTTATTAAGCCACGAAAAGCTGTTAATGGGCTTGACACAAAAAGCTGTTAAACTGTAGAACCTGTGGCTTCATTTAATTTTTTACTTCATGTAAAGCAGGTATTTTGCTACTGGTAATTGATCGTGATCCTCACTGTAACATACACAGAGTGAAAGAGGAAATTCACATAAGACTACAACATCAACAGGGATAGCAGAATAGCAAGCTCTGATAGAACCTACAACTTGCACTAAAAATTAAAGTTAGTTTTTCTCATCAGCCCATTTGAGCATGTCCTATATTCTATATTTGGAGATAAACAAAGTTGCCTAAGTTAAAATTTTGTGTAAAAACATGGATGGGATCAATTCTTTTATCAGGGCTCAGGGATCAAAATTTAGGGGGAAAAGGGGCTCAGGGATCAAAATAACGGCAAGAAAATAGGGATCAATGGGTCCCGAATATACCATGTTACGACCCTGGTATAGGGTTCTTAAAGAAAGTACCGCTCTTAATTTTGCCTTGTACTGGGCTAAAATCTATATCTTAAATGAAGAATGTAAGTGAGAGCGCTTTTTCGTCGAATTTGCCCGTAAATTTTAAGGTTTATAATATTATCCAAAACCCGCGACAAAATGTAAACAAACTATTAACGCATCGGTTGCGCTCATATTTCATCGATCAATTCGAACCATGAAGTTTGTAAAAGGTAAAAATTCGTTTTAGGTCAGTGCATTGAATTATTTACGGCAAAATCAACAACAATCGTCGAGGATTTTTCAATTTTGAAGCGTTTAACAGCAAAAAGTCACATGCTAATTCGGAATAAATTTAGACAGTTTTTAAACAGACTGAGCTATTGTTAGTCGCGTGAAGTTCTATTCTTCATCGAAGAACAGGCAAATGTTGCGGCTGTCTGAGCAGGAACAATAACCAGGAAAGGGATATACCCAGGGGATTTCTGGTTTGACACTAAATTAACGTCATTTTTCACTTATTTGCATTTTCACGATCGACGTTTTTGAATGAGCGCGTTTCTGTAATGCGATTCAATAGGGCGAGGGTCTCATTGGGTTTGTTACAGAAATGTGGATAAACAATTTTGTGAATACTTTGATCCGTTTGAATTAATCATGCCTAATGAGATTACAAAATATCTACAAACAAGTGGTTGAAAATTGTGTATTCGTCAGATGAAATACAAGAAAGAGATAGTGTTTTGTACGGTAATTGGTGCTTATATTATCTTTTGGAGAGACAGAAAGGTAGATCATTATTAGATGTTATACATAATACCAAATTCAGTTTCACGGATCAAATGATAAATCACAAATTTTTGATAAACTATTTTAATGTAATATATATATATAGAATGTCACAAAAATTCTGTGTATATTGCCAAGAAGTTACTCCGCATCATGTAAATAAATATGGGTGTTTTAAGTGCTGCAACTGTCAGCCCATCAGTGAGAGTGATTATGAGTCGGATAGCAGCTCTGAATCAACTTATATTCCAGACAGTAGTGATAGTGATTAAACAATATTTATAACCCATAATTAGAAGAAAAAGCTACCCCGTCGAAATGGCGGTCCAGGTCCCAGACCATTTTTATATAACATATTGTATATATAAATGGTGAATTCTTATTGTGTTAAACAGAAAAAAACAGACAGAATGTGTAGAGCCTTCGGGTTATAAAACAGCCAAAATGGTAGACTTATGCTTTGGTGCACTTGCGCTGAATGCCGAATAAAAAAATTCAAATTTGTAAAATCAAAAAACCAGATCAGCCTGCTTAGGGGCAGGCGTAATGGATACAGTAGCTGGCACAGCACTGGATATGTTTGTACATCGTGGGCTTCCTTGGATGGGTAAAAAAGCAGTTGAGATGGAAAGATATTACGGTTCAGAGGCGCTCAGAAACCTTAAATTACAGGAAAAACTATCGATTACCCTTTGGATAAATTGAATCCGATGATTCAGAATGTTGGTTCTCAAGCTCTTGACCAATTATCAACAAAGATTAGACCAAAGAAAAATTATAAAACAAACAGGAAAGATCTTGATGGAGGTGCAATAGATATCCACAAGGCCACTGGAAAATTACCAAGACCAAAGTGCTGCCTGGACCTTACCAGGGCACCGGTATACAGGTCCGTATAATGACTTAGAAAACCATGTAAGATACAATCCAGAAAATGGTGAAATATTAGAAACTTATGATCCACCAAACTGGACCGACGGATGCTGTAGCCATGCAAGATGATACCGATTACTCAGAATGGGGATATAACCGGAAGTGCAAAAATAAAGGAGATAGAAAAATGGTAAAATCATTGGACACCATACCTTATAATGAAAGACAATGGGGCCATTGGTTAGCTAGAAATCTAATCAACACAAAACAGAAACTCGGACTCGGTTTAAACTGAAAAAGCCGTCGAGTATAAGTTGGCAACAGCAATCAGCAGACGAATTACATAAACCCATAAAGAGCAACTTTTGTCGGCATCTACAAAATTTGGTGCTCTGATCTGGTTGAAATGCAACAGTTCAACAAATGGAACAAAGGTTATAGATATCTTCTCATGGTATTAGATCTGTTCTCCAAATATGGCTGGATTGTCCCACTGAAGGATAAAAAAGGGGAAAGCATTCAAAACCATCTTCAAAGAGAGTCGTAAACCACAATATCTTTGGACTGGTAAAGGGAAAGAATATTATAACAAAAATATGAACGAACTGTTGGAAAAGAATGGCATAACACTATACTCAACCGAGAATGAGGAAAAATATAGTTTTTGTGAAAGGTGGAACCGTGCAATAAAAACCAAAATGTGGAAGCAGTTTACTGTCCAGGGTAATACCCAATATCTCAGTATACTACCAAAAATACTGAGCCAGTATAATAACACCAAACACAATTCCATTAAAATGACACCTATAGAAGCTAGTAAAAAGAAAAATGAAAGTACCGTGTATTTCAATCTATATGGTGATATGGAGCAATTGTCATCTAACCCCAAATTCAAAGTTGGTGATAAAGTCAGGATAACTAAGTACAAGAGAAAGGTGTTTGATAAAGGGATACACGCCTAATTGGACGAAAGAGATATTCATGATTGATAAAATCCAATCCACAAATCCAATCACCTACAGATTAAAGGATCTCATCAACGAGAAGATACAACGGAGCTTTTATGAGCCTGAATTACTGAGGGCAAAACAGGATGTATTCCGCATTGAAAAAATCATTTGGAGGGATTATAAGAAGAAACACATGCTCTGGTAAAATGGTTGGGTTATAGTGACGACTTTAATTCTTGGATTCCACTGAGCAGCTTACAAGATTTATCTAACTAATAGTAAAAATGGATGATCATATAAGAAAGCTACATACTATAAGATCCATAATAAGGAAACCGAGCTTAATGCACCATACACTAAAATCCAAAAATTGGAAGAAGAGATTGCCACATTATACCATAAGAAATTGGTTGTAAAAAAAACTGGAAGCAGCAGAGATGTCATTATCCAGCGCCCTAAAAGCGATCTTTGAAACAGAAGAGGAGGAGGAGAAAGAGTAAACTATGAGAGATATTAATACAGCCTACATATAATGGTGTTTATGTTAGAAAAGACATTCTCCAATGACGAGTTAGATATGGAACTGACTTCATTCATAGATAATAAACAAAGTATCTGGTTCAAGGGTAAAGATATTGCCCAGATCCTCGGATACAGTGACACAGACCAAGCTGTTAGATACAATATTGAGCCTGAGGACCGAAAAAGCTACCCCGTAAATTGTACGGGTCAGTTCAGGCACCAAATTTTTAACAACGAGTCTGGATTTTACCCCTTGCTCCTATCTTCAAAGCTAAAAACAGCTATAAAATTCAAGCATTGGGTAACATCAAAAGTGCTCCCATCCATAAGAAAATATGGCCAATACAAACTATTTGACAATCCCAATAACAAAATGTTTAAAATTGAAAATGAAACCGATCTACATTGTAAAGTAGTTGATTATGTCCGCAGATTTTATCCAGAAGCCATTATTGTTGCAGGCCTAGGTGATCTACAGGATACTCCATCCAAAAGAATTGATAGTTGGAAAAAGGGTTGTACCAAAGGCCAACCTCATTTCATGATTATAAACTATCGTAAGGACTTTAGTGGGTGCTGTATTGAGTTTAAATCTCCAACTAAAAATTACCAAGTGAGCCAAGCCCAAAAAGAGTTGAAACACCGGTACAAGGAAAATGGCTACTATTTTCTCCTGAGTAATGATTATAATCTTATAACCAAAAATATGCATGATTACATGGAGGGAGTAAGAGTGCCATGCAAATTTTGTAATAGTGAATTCCTTTCGAAGGAACCACGAAAAATACATTATAAAATAATCCATCGAATTGAAAAATAATATAATCTATGTATATATACATATTAACCATGTGGCTTGTGTCATATTTTTTTGATACTTGTATTTGGATCTGGTTATCCAGATCCCAATACAATAATTATATACTGTATTAATATATGCGCATTCGAAAAAGAAAATGCACCTGTTGCAAGGGAGTTTATAAATGCCTCCGATTTAGAAATAATGTTGTGTGGAGACTGGCAATATTATATTGTCAAAGCCATAAAAAATAAATCTGATAGATTTCCCGGCAATCCGCCAAGCAAATTACCTGATACAATATGCAGTCATTGCCAATTATTAGATCCATGTCTTAAAATAAAAGATGATTATTATTTATGTGACGCATGCATGTATGAACAAGTGAACCACGACACATTGGAGTATAATTAATAATCTACTGTATTAACATTTGGATCCCGAAATTGTAAAACTAAGAAATAATTTAAATACGTTCACATTAGAGGAACTCAAAAAAAGAGTAATAAAGATGAAGCATTTGAACTTTGCTGTTACGCGCATGAAACGTAACCAAGTCATACAACTAATAATTAATTACCGGGTTTTATTTCCCCATCTTATGAATAAACTGGCACCAAAAGACGGGCTAAACCAAAAAAGATTACTATACCCCCTGCTAGCATAAAATTACCCCCCTGAATTATTAGCAAAGTTGGCCAACCAAACTAACCCTACCCTATTAACTTACTAACTAATTAATTGCAACCTTTTTATTTCCCTTTTTTCTCCTCCTCGACTTTGACTTAATTTGTTCCATTAAAATTTGATATTGCTGGTCCTTAAAAAATTTATCAATTTCTCTCTGTTGTTGTTCTTCTAAGATTTCTTCATCTTGTTTCCTAAAAAAAATTCATCCGTATCTAGTTCTTGAAAATACTCTAAATCCTCATCCAACACCTCTTTCTCAATTATTTCTTACTTAACTGGTTTTAATCGGTTCAGTCTGCTAATTAATTCATCATTTTCACCCTCCATTTGGTGTTGTATTTTATCATCGTTAATTTTGTTGATACGCTGAATTAGTTTTTCGTACTCGTTATCCTGCTCAGTTTTTCGTCTTGATTTTTTTGGCTTAGCCTCAGGCTCATTTATTGACTTTTTTGACTTAGCCTTAGCCTCAATATTTAACTTTGCCTCAGCCACAATTTTGACCATTTTTTTTAACATTTTTGATACCACGGATAGCACTTGCTCCATCAACATTTTCTTATTAAATGTTCCTTGTTTTATCATCTTATACATACTAGTATTTTGCTCAATTAAGATTTCACACAGTTTTTCTATTGCACACTGCATAATTATATAAGGCGACATCCGTTTAAATGTGTTTTTGTTAAATAATTAGTGAAAATAGTGCTGAGAGGCCCTTGTGGGGGGTAGTATGTAAGATTTGGGGATTACAGCCGCTCTACTTAAGGCCACTGTTCACCGAGATAGTTGTCGTAGTCGTCATGTCCGATTTAGAGCGCGGGTCAGTTAGATGACTTGAAACACCAAGCTCCCTGAGTGTGTATATACTAATTGTCATTATTGTTATATTATTATCTTAGGATGTCAAAATATAGCAAACTTGACCAAAAAAGAATGCCTCAGCCTTACACGTAAGTTTCAGACTTTTTTGCTCGTGTTCAGGTAGTTAACGGACATATCCACGCGTTTGTACATTAACGTCGGTCATTTGTTCTTGTTTGTTTGTTTGTTTTTTTTTTTTCAAAATCAATGTTTTGAATTAACGGGTATGCTGCTGAAACCGCAAACGGTCATGATACATGCGTACGTACTTACATAAATAAATACGTAAAGTTTATTTTAATACTGTTAATCATTGATACATGTACTGCAATAATACAATTAAAAATACTGATTTCCAAGATCGCCGTATGTGAGCCTGCTCATTTTAAAATGCTGGATAATTTTACGTTAAATTGTTTTAGGGAACAGCACTCCGTACTTCAGGCTGTTCCTTAGGGCTACTCTATGGAGAGAGATAAGAGAAGAGAGATAGACCATTTAGGACCTTGAAAATGGTTTTTATGAATAAGTGCTTTTTCTTACTAGTGTCCAAATTATTCCAGTCAAAATGTTTTCATAAGGAGCTTCGGCACGATTTTAGAGTTTTTGTATTTTTATTTTTTCCATACTATTCTCCACCTAACTTCTTAGATCAGTTCAGGGTTCAGACTCTGCTACTCGTAACACTGTAACCCAGTGCTACCTGCCTATGGAAGAGTCGTTGGTAACTAAACCGGCTCCCTCATCAGCTACATCCTTTGAGTGGGGGTGTATGTCAACCTGCGGAAAGAAAAACGAAACCTTTCAAAGGGCGAATGAGCTGGTTGTGTCCCAACCGCCAGCATGCAAATGTTGCTGTGGGGCGCTAAGGTCTCAGAGGGACAGACTCAACGTGGTGGTCATGCAATGCTTTATCTTCAGCCGTCTCGACTATGCCCTGCAGCTGGGCCCAAATAACACAAGACGAGAGATTTTTGACGACACTGCGCAACACTTCTTCATTTTAACCCAATTCAAGCGCAAGTCAAGATAAACTAGCCTCACTATCCATTAAACCTTGAGGCCACAGACGAGTGATGAAGCAGACGGTGGGGATTCACTGGAAGCTGTAATCAAAAAACTTGCACACAGGCGGCCCAGGGCGTAAGTGTCGCTTTCTACTTGACCGAAGCAGCCGTGGAATTCGACAGCCCCCTGGATGTCTGAGCAGTCCTATTTTAAGAATCTCTCTTCTCACCTCCATGGCCTGATTAAGGGACCAGAAAAGGTGCTCAATTCAGAGCTACTTCACCTTCCCTAGCCTGCTTACCGCAGCAGGAGGGGATCCCATCTTTGCGGTCGACATTTTAAGATGTAATCAATGTTGAAATTGCTAATTATCGGTACATGGAATGTGCGTACGCTCTCTGGACAGTGAAGGACAGCACTAGATGCAAGAGAACTAGTCAGGTACAACTTTCAAATCTCAGCGCTCATTGAGACCAGGTTAGCCAATGAAGGTCAGCTAATGAGGTGGCTACACCCTTTTCAGGAGCAATCGCAGAAGCAGGAGTGGGCTTTGCTGTCAAAACAAACCTGATTAGTAAGCTTAAAAACCTCATAGGAATCAAAGATCGCCTCATAGCTCTTCAGCTCCTTTTCCGAAGTAATGTAATGCCACTGTTATCAGTAAATATGCTTCCACAATTACGAATAAAGAGGAGATCAAAGTTAAATTCTACAAGGAATTAGNACACAAGACGAGAGATTTTTGACGACACTGCGCAACACTTCTTCATTTTAACCCAATTCAAGCGCAAGTCAAGATAAACTAGCCTCACTATCCATTAAACCTTGAGGCCACAGACGAGTGACGAAGCAGACGGTGGGGATTCACTGGAAGCTGTAATCAAAAAACTTGCACACAGGCGGCCCAGGGCGTAAGTGTCGCTTTCTACTTGACCGAAGCAGCCGTGGAATTCGACAGCCCCCTGGATGTCTGAGCAGTCCTATTTTAAGAATCTCTCTTCTCACCTCCATGGCCTGATTAAGGGACCAGAAAAGGTGCTCAATTCAGAGCTACTTCACCTTCCCTAGCCTGCTTACCGCAGCAGGAGGGGATCCCATCTTTGCGGTCGACATTTTAAGATGTAATCAATGTTGAAATTGCTAATTATCGGTACATGGAATGTGCGTACGCTCTCTGGACAGTGAAGGACAGCACTAGATGCAAGAGAACTAGTCAGGTACAACTTTCAAATCTCAGCGCTCATTGAGACCAGGTTAGCCAATGAAGGTCAGCTAATGAGGTGGCTACACCCTTTTCAGGAGCAATCGCAGAAGCAGGAGTGGGCTTTGCTGTCAAAACAAACCTGATTAGTAAGCTTAAAAACCTCATAGGAATCAAAGATCGCCTCATAGCTCTTCAGCTCCTTTTCCGAAGTAATGTAATGCCACTGTTATCAGTAAATATGCTTCCACAATTACGAATAAAGAGGAGATCAAAGTTAAATTCTACAAGGAATTAGGAAATATCATCGAGGGCGTAACAGAAGAGGACAAACTCTGATTGTGTCTCAAGACTTCAATGCTAGAGTGGGCACAGTTCATAAGACCTGAAAATTGTTTGATGTTATCAAGGTGCACCTTCCCGCGGTTCACTGCTACGCTGACGACACGCAGTTATATGTGTCCTTCAGTCCATACAAAAGCACCGGGCAATTTGAGGCTGTCACTGCTATTCAGCTCTGTGTGGATGATATACGTAACTCAGGATGACCAATGATAAACTACTTCTCAATGACGACAAAACAGAATTCCTAATGATTGGTACCAAGCAACAACTAGCCAAGGTTAATATTAATCATATTTTAATTGGAGACTGTGTAATTGGACCAAAAGGGGTAGTTAAGACCTTAGGGACATGGTTAGACTCTACTTTTTTAATGAATTCTCATGTAAATAACACTTGTTCCAATGCTTTTTATTACTTGTATAATATAAGACGAATTAGGAATATTTTTCTAGGCAGTCCATTGAGACGCTCATTAGCGCATTTGTCTCAAGTCCCGTCGATTATAGTAACAGCCTGCTCTATTGCCTGCCAGCCTACCAGCTTAATAAGCTACAGAGGGTCCAAAATG